ATGAGGCCCTGCCAGCAGCAGCCCCACAGCTCTCACAGCTTCCCAGCAGCTCCTGGGCTTGAACTCTGCCCAAAAATGAAATTTCTCAGGGTTCAGCCCATGGGCAGGACAGAATTGAGGCTGCCACCCAACCCCCAGCACGGGGATCCTGCCTGAGGCCTTTCCACACAGATTTTTGTCAGAACTCAGTGCATCCCTCTGGGTGTCCAGAGTTACCAGGACCCCATGAGGGGGCTCACAGACCCTGGCACAGCCCAGAGCACCTGGGGATTTGATTTTGACCCCTGGAGCAAATTACCAGCTTTGTATGAGGACCTGAAAGTCACACAGGTTTGAATGGTGTAATAACAAAATTATCACAGAGTGAAAATGTAGATTTTGGGATTTTTGATATGGGGGTTTTGGAGACAAGATGGAGGAACTTGGGCGTGTCCAGCCTTTCTTCTCCTTCTTCTTGTTCTCCATTTTCTGCAGTGATGTTGGCACTTTGGGATTGGTTTAGAGTAGAAGTGCACTGTCTAACACAGGTGATGGGTATTGGAAAGTAATTGTAAATATGTTATATGTAGAATAGAAGCTCACTGTCTAACATAGGTGATATTTATTAGAAAGTAATTGTAAATATGTTATATGTAGAACAGAAGCTCACTGTCTAACATAGCTGATGGGTATTGGAAAGTAATTATAAATATGTTATATTTACAATAGAAGTGCACTGTCTAACATAGGTGATAGGTGTTGGGAATTAAGTGTAAATATGGTATATAGAGTGTGTAGTATAAAAGCACAACACAGAGTGCCTGTGGCTGCCCTGCTGAGCAGATCTGGGCTGGGCAGAAAGAAAATTTTATAGATAAGAATTAATAGACAACCTCAAGACCAAAAAGTGAAGAGTCCAGACTCGTTCTTCAGTTAAACAGAGACATCCTGCACGTCTTGGGTCAACAATTATCAACAGCAACCCAAGAAATCTTCATGCAGCATAAATAAATACACGTATGTTTCAAGCAAGGCAAAAAACCAAGCTGAAAAACAAAGCTGCACCAAGGCCAGCCCCTCCTGAAGAGGCGCTGGGAGCACGATGGCCTTGGGATGTTTCCTCCAGCCTGAGCAGGGCTCCATTGACGCACCCGCCAGGCTGGGTGACGACAGCCCCGCTCTGCATCAGCCCATCTGCCCCAGCTGTTTGTTTAACACAGCTTCAGCCCTGCCAGGGCTCTGTCAGCACCAGGGCACAGCAAACACCGTGCTGAGATAAGGGCAGTCAGAGCAGGGATGCAGAGCAGAGCATCCCACCCTGGCAGCACCCAGCAGTGCCAGGGGGGCTGGAGCCACACTGAGCCCACAGCAGGCACCGTGCCCGTGCCAGCTGAGGCTGCCAGGCTGCTGGGAGCAGCAAAAGGCTGGGCCAGGAGCAGCTCAGGGGTTTCATAACAGGGCTTTGTGTGTGCAGGTGCTCGGAGAGGCAGGGGNCCCAGGCTCTGGTCACCCTCTGCCACCTCCTCTCCTGCTTCCCCAGGCAGAGGAAACTTGTGGGAACCTGTGGGAAACTGTTGGCACCAAACCACCAGAAGCTCTGTGCAAAGCCAACCTTTGCACAACTTGAAATTGCTCACACCAACAGCCTTGGGGCAAAGGAAGACAGGGTAGGAGGTTGGACACCCTCTCCTTCCTCCTCTATTGCTTAATCACCCTAAAAATTGCATCCTGCATTAGGCAAAACCATAAGCAAGAGTAACACCAGCCCCTGAGGAGCCATGCAGAGGGGACTGAGAAAAGCCTGGCTATTTTTTGCAGCCCCACTCTGAAGAGCCTTGGCATGGGGAGCCAGGAAGCTGAAGAGAAAAGAGAAAAACAAAACAATTTGTAATTATGCTGCAGGAAAATGGAGCAGCAGGAAGCAGCTAGTTAACATCATTCTGCACAAGACAAACAGCAGAGGTACAGCAAAATACATCCCGTTTCTAGAGGTCACTCTGAGTGCTTTTCTAGGAGGTTAATTGGATTTCTAACGAAGCAGGAGGCAGCAGCAGCCTCCATTACCTGCCCCAGCACAGCCCTGACGTTTGTTTTTGTACCCAGACAAGCTCTGGGAGCAAAGAGCTGCCCTGGTGCTCTCAGCACACCCAGCTGTGACCCAGCTGCTCCCTCCATCCCCTGCTGGCTCTGCACGGACAGGGCATGGAGAGGCCTCCAGAGGAGCAGATTAGGCCTCATTAAGGCAATGGTTTGGTTAATTTAGGAAATGTTCCTGGTGGCAGCAGGGTGAGGGGGAGCTGAAGGCCACATGCACTCCCCACTGCTGCTGCAGGAGGGATTGAAAAGTATATCTGACTCCTATGACCTAACTATCAAGTTGTAAGAAAGTTTCCTCTGTGATTTTAATGAACTCTCAGTATATTTTATGATATTAAGAATATTTCCTCTATGATTTCGATGAACTCTCAGTATATTTTATGATATTAAGAATATTTCCTCTATGATTTCAATGAACTCTCAGTATATTTTATGATACTAAGAAAGTTGATAGGCCAAGCAACACTTATAGTGTGTTGTAATTGGGAAATAGTTAGCTTCTGATTGTGATGGTGTGAATTGTAACATTTGTGTTGTCTCACTCTTCACATGAGAATGAAAATGGAATAAAAGTTTTTAAAACACCTCTCAGTTGCCCCATCTCTGGGTCAGAAAAGAGCATAATCCAACAGGCAAGCATATTTCCTCTATGATTTCAATGAACTCTCAGTGTATTTTATGATATTAAGAATATTTCCTCTATGATTTCAATGAACTCTCAGT